TATATATATTTTATATAAAATAATATTATATTAAAATTAATTTTATAAATTATATAATTTCTTATAAACCAATATAACCTCGAAATTGTGTTTCTTATACACCGGGCGAATCGTCGTGCTTATAACGCCTATTATAATGCCAAATAACAAAACCAAGCCAAAGACAAAAAAAAACAAACAAATATAAATAAAGACAAACAAAAATAAACAAATGCAAACAAAAGTACAACAAAAATAGTAAAAGGTAAGCAAATATAAACATAAATAAAAATAACCAAAAGAAATACAAAAATAAATAAAAGTAAACAAAACTAAATAAAGATATATAAAAATAAAAAACATCAAAAAATAAAATTAATTAAAAATAAAAATAAATCTAAACAAACATACACAAACAAAACAAATAAAAAAATAAATAAAAATAATTAAACATAAACAAACCCAACAAAAACAAACACACAAAACACACAAAATACACAAACAACCCAATACATAAAAACATATATATATATATATATAATAAACAAAAATAAACAATTAAAAAACATAAATACAAATAAACAAAATAAACAACAACAAATAAACTAAAACAACATAATCAAATAACGCAAATTAAATTTATAAAAACCAATAAAACATAAAAATAAATAAATATTAATATATAAATAAAAACAACAACATATAAATAACAAATATACAACAATATACCAACAATCACAACCAACCAAAAAAACCAACATAAAAACAAAACAAATAATCAAGAACAATAATAAAATAATCATACACAAAAACAACAAAATCTTAAACAATCAATTTAAAATAAATAATAATTAATAAAATAAAATAATTAACCATTAACAAAAACAATCAACCACAAATAACAAATTACAAATACAAACAAACAACAACAAACAAACACGCAACAAAGACAAACAAAAACAAAACAAACAAACCCAAACAAAAACAAACCACACACAAACAAAAACAAACAACAAACTAAAGCAAAACGAGAAACAAATAAACACAAACAAAAACAAACAAAGACAGATACAGACAAAAAAAGAGACAGACAGAGACAAAGACAAATAGAGACGGACAAGACAGAGACAGACAGAGACAGACAGAGAAAGACAGAGAAAGACAGAGAAAGACAGAGAGAGAGAGAGAGAGAGAGAGAGAGACAGCAAACAAACAATAACAAACAGAGACAAACAGCAAACGGATAGAGATAGGCACAGACAGAAACAAACACAGACAGACAGAAACAAACAGAAACAGACAGACAGACAGACAGACAGACAGACAAGACAGACAGACAGACAGGCAGGCAGGCAGGCAGACAGACAGACAGACAGAAACACACAGACAGACAGAAACACACAGGCAGACAGAAACACACAGACAGACAGACAGACAGACAGAAACAAACAGACAGACAGACAGACAGACAGAAACAAACAGACAGACAGAGAGACAAAGAAAGAGAGAGAGAGAGAGAGAAAGACAGAAAGAGACAAAGACACAGAAGAACACAAAGATTGGAGTGTCCGAACGGGTCTGCCTGTGTTCACAAATGCAGCTGGCAGCACCGGCGCTTGGTGGCTAATTGCTGAAGGACCTGGGGGGCAATCTCAACCGCCTCATCATGTGGTAGTTGTTTGGCCAACCCAGTTAGGAAGCGAAAGAAGAAGTAAAGACAGTGCGAAAATTCATTAGGCCAACAGGCGTCGGTGTAACATGGGATGTGCCAACCTTTACAAGCCAAGTCTCGTTAGCTTCTTTGCATGTGCATTTGTTGAAAGGACAGTATTTGCTTGAAGACACTAAACAGTGGCTGTAAGTTTGTTAAGACAGGTGCAGGTTACTTAAACCGCAAGACAAAAATGGAAGCGCTACTAGTGTGTTAACAAGACTGGAAGTTTGGTTGAAACGTTAGACCTGAGTGGGGACGGCTGCAAGGTTGTTAAAGTGGTTGGAAGTGTCTTAAAAGGGGTCGGACATTTGTTAAGGAAGTGACTATCTCTAAGGGTTGCTCTTCCCAGCCTATTTCAAACCTTTCCCTGAAAGGTGGTCAACCCGTCCCCGCTCCCGAGAAACCCAACAACCTGTGAACATTCCCAACTCTTTGGGGCTTAACAATGCATGTTTGGAATTCAAAAATCTCGATAGCCCTTTCTCAACCGGCCCCTTCAATCCCTTGAAAAATAGTGCTGCTCACCCTGTCAGCGTGTGCACCGCTTTTTTTCCAGCTCCTCACAGCACTCCTGGTTTGGGCTCAAAACTCAAAACCGCAGCCACCATCACGGCTTTGCCAGGCTGCGAATCTCACTCACAAAGCCACTGTGGCAGCTTTTGCCTGCCTTGGCCAGCCACTTCTTAAGCTCTGCTCGAGAGCTCGAAGGCTTCTCAAGCAGACACAGGCCGCTGCGCAGCAGCATGAACTGCTTGGCATCCTGTTCGGTGGCACCAGCGGTCTGCATTGTGGGTGCAGGAAGGCTCTGCCACCCCCCGTGCACGGCATCCCGAAGCTGCACGTAGGCTTGCAGCACCGCAGGGCAGGCCCGTAGCGCAGCTTGCGCCGCCACCGCATCCCGCCTTTCCTGGTCCCACAGCTGTTTCAGTTGTCCGGGAAGACCACCGCCTTGATCTATGGACTCGATCTTCGCCACTATTTTCTTGTCGATTGTTGTTGTTAGGCTAAGCAAGTGTTCGATTAGGTCTGGGAGCGTGGTTGCGCCATCCTCCAGCAGCTGCGTCAGGAACAGAGAGACACAGAGACACAGAAGGACACAAAGACACAGAGACGCACAAAAACACAGAGAGGCAGAGAGACAGAGGGAGAGAAAGACAGAGAGACAGAGAGACAGAGAGACAAAGAGGCAGAGAGGCAGAGAGACCGAAACACAGAGAGACAAAGAGGCAACTAGACAAAGAGACGAAGAGACAGAGCAACAGAGAGAAAGAAAGAAAGAAAGAAAGAAAGAAAGAAAGAAAGAGAGAAAGAGAGAAGATCTGAGAGCCGGGTGGCCGGAAGCGACCCCAAATTTGGCCAGGTTATGCCGCGAGAACTCTGAGCGAAGATCTGAAGAACCGCCCCCAAATTTCGGGGACTTCCGGGCCGCGCGAAGAGGCAGGAGCTTGCGCAGCGGAGAAAGGACCGGGACGGGCGCAGCTGCTCGCTACAATGGCTCTGCGGTGCACGCGAAATGCGACCCCGAGGGGCCGCTTGCGCAGCGGCATGGCGAGCCCAGCAGAGCCACTGGAGCCTGCGGGCACGGCAGTCCAGGCAAGGGCATGCGACAAAGCTGAGAGCCAAACAGCAGAAAAGCGAGAGTATGACAAGAACAGCCGGGTTTCAGCAGACCTGGAAACTCTGCAAACAGAGCAACGAAGCCTGATGCGCATGGACTCCCGGGCGTCGCGAAGCGTAGCCAAGGTGCTCGCGACCTGAGCTGGAGCAGGCAACAGAGCAAATCGACTGGATGTACACACCATGCACGCGCCCAGCACGAAATTTTCCGGAAACTTCGCCTCGGACAAGTCCCCAAATTTCCCGAATATTTGGCCCGTTATTTTTTCGGAAAGCCGCCAAATTGTGAAGAAATTTGCGGGGGTTACGTCCGGAGATCTGAGATCCGGGTCGCCGGAAGCGACCCAAAATTCGGGAAAATTTGGCCGGGTTATGCCGCGAGAGCTCTGAGCGAAGATCCGCAGAACCCCCCCCAAATTTCGGCAAATTTTTGGGGAGTTCTGGGCCGCGCGAAGAGGCAGGAGCTTGCGCCGCGGAGAAAGGACTGGGACGGGCACAACCGCTCGCCGCAAGCACGACGATTCGGCCGGGGTACCGCTGCAGCGGCTCCGCGGTGCATGGGAAATGCGACCCCGAGGCCGCACCGGTTTATAGGATATAAAATAATAATAAATAATAGTAATATTACTACTAAGAATAATAATAATAACAATAACAATAACAATAACAATAACAACAATATTACTCATAATAATTATTATTACTAATAATAATAATAAAAATAATAATAATAATACTAATAATAATAATAATACCAATAATAATAATAATAATAATAATAATAATAATAATAATAATAATAATAATAATAATAATAATAAATAGTATATATATATATAATATATATATATATAATATATACATAATATATATATAATATTAAAAATTAAATTATATAAATTCATAATTATGAAATAAATATATATTTCAAAACAATTTAAATTAATAACATTTAATACACACAATCTATTAATCATTTCTATAATCAAAGATATATGTCAATTGTAAAAATAAAAGTAAACATCCCTATTATAAATATATCCCAAATTAAATAATTTAAAATTGGGCCGGTGTTTGGCGAATGTAGTGAAAAATTCAAATCAAATGAAATGTATTTTCCCCCAAGCGACGTTGGGTCAAGCACTTTGGCAATTTATCTCATCTTGGTCAACACACCACGCACCTGCCTTAGGAACACAAGGTACCTTCCATACGAGGTACCTCGCTATGAGTCATATGAGTGCTAAGAATTGTTTGTACATTTGCTACACACTCCATGTGCCACCCTTGTTGACCACTTCCATACTTCGAACAAAGTTTATTCTTTGTGTTTTTCCATCTTGCATAGTACAAACAAGCCTTTCTTTTGTGGCCACCGCAGCACGCACAGGAAACCAACATTTGCGCATCCTTTTCAACTCCGTTTTTCTTGCACGTGTATGCCTCGTGGATCTCGCCTTTTTTTTGGTTTTCGTCCTGTACCTTTCTCCGACTCCGACTAATTGTTCGGATTTGTGCGCGACCAGTGTTTGCCGCAATGTTCCGCCAATTTGGCTGATTCATTCCAACCAATTTGTCCGAGTTTTGTCTAAATCTTCTAATTGTGTCAAATTTCACCGATTTTTCTCCAATTGATTTTGCAGAATGCTTCTGCATGATATATGACATTGACACGCTAGGTGACAATAAGGTGTTTTCAATCTATATTTGAAAGAAGAGGGATAACTACGGCAGTAGTATCATCTATTCGGACGTCAAGCGGAAGATCAGCCTGCGCAGGTGCAGGCCAATCTTTCACAAAGGTTGAAGGAACGATATGACAAGATCAAATTGCCAGCAATGGTGACTATTTTTTTGCAAAGGATTGAGGCCCAAACACACAAAGCCTCTCACACACCCAGAATGATGTTGCGACGGGCATTTTCTAGAATTTTGACAGACGAGCAAATGACAATGGACCATCCATGACAGAAACACATATCTTGCTACAAGCAACTGCCCTGCTGCACGTGCTCCCTTCAAAAAAATCGAGTCTGAGATGGAGCTTACCACATGCTCTGCACAGTCTTTGTTGCGCCGGAAAGCTATCTTCGGGGCTCCTCAGGTCGCATCTTCCTTTGCGGCCTCCCAAACTGGGCTGTCCTCAGATCCCCCGCGAAAAGTGAATAACTTTTAGTGGGTCACATGGAAACCCAACCACTAAACACTAGAAAGCTAAAGACAACAAACACACTAAACCGCAAAACACCAACAAAAAAACACTAAGAAGCCGAAAAAAACTGAAGAGGAACCGGATGCCTGGGACCCCGCCGTTAATCGCCTGTCCGGCCTGCCATCTTCGCCGCGCTTCGGCCACCAGAACTTCCGGTATCGAGAGGCCGCTCTTGTCCTCGGGCACGGCAAAAAACTTGCGCCTTCGCTTGGGTCTTCGACTGACTCAGTTCAGCAGGGATCCGGAGGCATGAAAACACCGGAAGGAACATTGCAACTTGTACATGGAGGCGTCCAACTTTATTTTGGTGTTGAAAAAGCAACATGGTTCAAATGGGCAAAATGGAGATCTTTTACGGAGCCCTGTTCAAGTAGGTGGGCCTAAAGAAAACCAAACCATGCACCTCCCCCCCTCTTATCCCACTCAATTATATGCTAAACTTGGGTGGGTTGAATCCAAAGGCTTGCTAAAGTCTGAGGTAGAGCCAGTCTCAAAGCTGGCACCCTCCTACAATGAAAGCTAACAAACAGAGTGACGCCCAGCGCCAGCATGCTTGGATTTCATGAGCCGCATCCAATTGAGAAACTGGCCAAAGCCCCCAAGTGGCCATTGACGACATGCAACTTCCATGCGCTGGGAGATTCGAGGTCGGCTTTTCTCAAAGCCACTGGAACTGATGCCCGGGCAGAAAGCGTAGGTGTGTGGCTCAAAAAAACTCTTTAAATTCGGCTTGTAAATTCGGTGAGTTGATTGTTGAGGAAAGGTTCTGCGCGAGCAAGGAAGGCCTCTCTGGACTGCTCATCGCTGTGGCTCCCGGCTTGTGGGAATTACCCAGGTGTCATGGTCATGGGCCCCCGCAAAGACCATTGCAGGTCGTTGATGACCACCACTTTGTACGATAATCGATTCTCCCTAAGAAACACGTCCCCCCCGCCAACAAAAAACCTGGGGGGGAGTTTATTATTAGGGGTCGCCAGTTCGGCCTAGATCCAGTTGATAGTTTGCTGTTTAGTATTGGACTTGTATTGGAAAGCGGATCTGCTTTGATTTGGAGCAACAACTGCTCAGATTGCAACTTTTAAGTAAGAACTTCGAAAGGGAGTGTCCCATGGTCAGTTTCCTTCTCGTTTCAACACACTCTGCAAATAACCCCCAAAAAGCATATTTTGGTAGCTTGGTGGAAAGCATGTGTAGTTTCAGGAGTTTAGTATTGGTTTAGTCCATTTAGTATTGCCGATTTTTTGCCGCGGCTCGGGAGAGTTTTATTATTAGGGGTAGGTTGAATAATAGGAAGAAGTGGTTAAGATGGTACACAAGCTACCCCACATACATACCCTTGCAAACAACGTTGCCAGTTAGTGGCGTTAGTGGCGGGGGGGGGGAGGGCAATTCCAATGATGAGTTGCAATAAGACGCTCTGCGCGTGATAGAACATATGGACCACGATCCGAAGCTCTACGGGCGGGAATGCTTGACACATTGGACTAGTTGCTAGCAACATGTCAGCCACATGACGCAACAACTCAACATTCCCAAAATGGAAACACTCAAACAAATTGATCAGGTACGCCAAGGCCAACAACGCATGAGCGAAGCCTAACGACAGTTTTCAAATGCCCTGAGTATCCTGGCACGAGCTCTCTGGTCTTGGACTGTTTAAATGATCCATCTCTTTGCTCCTAATTGATCAATTGGCACAGGTCCAACATGGCCCAGTTCAGTTCCGATGAGAGTCAAACCCATTTCAGGCGACCACTTTAGTCTTGATTCCAACTTTGCACACCTGTGCCGACCCTTCACACAATCAACCGCTGGGAGGCGTTGCCTCGCCAAAAAGCGGGGCTCTCCAGCCCCGAGTCCTAAGTTCATGCATGACGCCTCCTCCAAGCTGGCCGCGATCTGAGCTGCATCTGCGGCGCTCAGCACGTCACTGAGCCCATCGCTGACCTCAGGAGACGGAGATTTGGAGTTGGGGGCGGTGCTTGAAGTCTGAGATTTCGAGGGCTTGGTCTTTTTCGGTCAACCCTTTTCATGTTTGCCCTTTCCACTCCAAGCCATCCCATAGGTGCCACAACTAGACATGGTTTGGTGACAAAGGAAGTCAACGTAAAGCCAACCATCTTTGGAAAACTGGGCGACTGAACCCAACCGCTTCTCAAACCAAAAGGGGCCGTTTCATGAGGCCCAACTCACAATGTAAGCAGTTGCGGCATGTCTTGTCAGTGCACAAGTTGAAAACACATACTCCATGGGCTGACTTGTATGGCCGGCGAGCAACCAAAACCTAAGTAGGTTGTTCCTAAAGAAATGGAGATGTAACCGCTCGCATTGAAGCTATGTGACCAATGAAAGTCTTCCGATATCAATTATGTCTCTTGTATGACAGACCGCTGCCAAAAAGTGAGGAATTCATTCGGGCCATCCGCGCAACTACTGGAAGGTAGGCCCTCTGTGCTGTGGTTGAGGGAGCAGTTGAGGTCTGGTTCTTGGTGCAAGTATGAGGGAAGGGAGTGCTTACATGATCTCGGCCACAATCCAGCGTATGGAAGAAATGCCGAGGCGCTCAAGTCTACTTATCCATCATCATATTCTACATCCTTGTCAAATCATCGTCTTTGAACAAATGATCGTCTTGACAATGTGCTGAGCGAAGTATCACATCACTTGCTGGTGCTCAGTAGGGAATGAGGGAATGACTCCTATACACCATGCCTCGTTTCCTTTAAGGGGACCAAACCCTGGGTTCATTCCATTCTCATTTCCTACCTATCGCAGCGATCGCAAGATCAGCGTTGAAGCGAAGGAAATTCTCGTCCTGGTCACCTCCCAACCCCCAAACCCCCCAACCAATCCCCCACCCCTCAACCCCCACCCCAACCCCCTCAACCCCCTCAACCCCCTCAACCCCTCCCCCCCCCCCGAAAGATCCCAGGCGCCAGCACCAAAAAGCCCTCCGTGGTGTCGGAGAACTCCGAAAGCTCCGGCTCTGCCAGAAGTCCGAAGGGCCGCAGTGCCAGGTCACCCAACCTCAGTGTCAAGTGGTGGCTGGCTTTGGTTGGCTTGCTTGCTTGCTTGCTTGCTTGCTTGCTTGCTTGCTTGCTTGCTTGCTTGCTTGCTTGCTTGCTTGCTTGCTTGCTTGCTTGCTTGCTTGCTTGCTTGCTTGCTTGCTTGCTTGCTTGCTTGCTTGCTTGCTTGCTTGCTTGCTTGCTTGCTTGCTTGCTTGCTTGCTTGCTTGCTTGCTTGCTTGCTTGCTTGCTTGCTTGCTTGCTTGCTTGCTTGCTTGCTTGCTTGCTTGCTTGCTTGCTTGCTTGCTTGCTTGCTTGCTTGCTTGCTTCGGGTGGGTGGGTGGGTGGGTGGGTGGGTGGGTGGGTGGGTGGGTGGGTGGGTGGGTGGGTGGGTGGGTGGGTGGGTGGGGTGGTGGGTGGGTGGGTGGGTGGGGTGTGGATGGGTTGGTGGGTGGGTGGGTGGGGTGTGGATGGGTTGGTGGGTGGGTGGGGTGTGGATGGGTTGGTGGGTGGAGGGAGGGTGGGTTAGGTAAATGTTGGATCCTTGGCTGCACGAGTTGCAAAGCGACCAGCGCGCATTACACGGCAACTAAAACAAAAAGACACAATCACACACTATACATCCCAAGACACTGTTCTTGGCTTGGGTCGTGCCAAGTAAGAGCAGCGGCAAAAACTTAGCTCATTGCTGCTCGCTTGCTAGTGCCTCTCCCGACTGATCCGCAAGAGGGAATCATCCATGACAATTCCGTGCCGCCGGGATGGCCCACGTCACATGTTTCGGACACAGCCTTCGCCATGTGCCGGTGACACCCGAAACCTCTGCGTCATGGCTGGCAGCGCAAAATAATACTATAGGTTTAAGGACCAAACAAAGTATCCCAACTGTTGGTTAACACAAAACATGGCACATCCAAAGAACTCGGAAAGTGAGAAAACTCACTCTGGGCCTGGGCGCCCCTGTTTTGGGGAACACAAAAGAAAAAACCCTCCTTATAAAGCTCCCTCTTTCTAAACTTCGTTCTCCAGGGCTCCTCATAAACCTCTTTGTAAAGCGCCTTATGAGCGTCCGTATCCAGGGCTCCTTACCCAAACCTTGACAAGACGTGACCCCACCGCTCCGAATCGCTCGAATCGATCAACCGCTGGGCTGCCCAGCGCTCGGGACATGGCCACGCCGATGGGCCCGGCCCAGAGGATGCCGTTGGCCACGCGGGCGCCAGTCGCCTTGATCGACGTGGCCCAAAGGGCATTTGTTTCGACTTTTTTGAGGTGTTTCTTGTTTGTTCATGTTGTTTCATGTTTTTTTTCCAGTTGTCTCCGAAACAAAACCTTGCTACCCATAGTAAAGAGCCACACGAAGCATTTACGGTGAAATGCGGCTATGACTTGCTTGACTTTCCTCGGGGGGCTTGGGATGGGTTGGGTGTTGGGTGGGGGGGGGAGTGGGTGAGGGGGGGGGTTGCGGGGGTCGGGGGTTGGGTTGGTAAATCTGTGACCGCTTCTTTTCCACGCACCTTTGCTTCAGAAGGAAGGTTCAGGCCTCTGGCCTCGTTTTGTTCAGAGAATGCGAGGTCACAATATTTCGCCTTAGTATGCCTGAATCTATTGGCTGGTCAAACTTCGCTGCTGAACATCTCACGTTGTGTAGAATGCCAGGGAATGCTTTACAACTAGGGAACCCGCCTCCCGCCTATGTCTATGCTAAACTGCAATTTGTTTGGGTCTAGCATGAATGCGACAGTGATTTAGTATGAAATGAGAAATTGCCGCAGCTGCCGGCTGCTTGCTGCTTGATTTGAAATTCAAAGCATCGGTGCTCGGCCATACCGTTGACACTTTGCGACTCGAGCATGACATGTGAAGCAAAAAAAAACGTGACTTTGCTTATGAGTGGATTTCTCAATACACGGAACAACGCCTAGTAGCATGGGTGCTCAGCCTGTATATGTGGGGGGTTTTCACGTGCTTAGTTTCGGCATGCCATGGGTTGTACTCAAAACCTTCAATTGCGTACCACTTATACTGACCTCCTACAGCATACCATTTGTCCCGCCCATTTTGGATGCTGGTCTTTTGGGTGGTCAAATCTCGAGTGCTTTCTGGGGATGGTGTATTTGTTCCAAAGAAATACAAACAAACTCACTTCCTGAGTGGATAGGCCAAACAAAAAGTGAGCTTGTTGTTTACCACAAACCATGGTCCAAACCCATTAAGTACCAAGTCTGAAACGGAACTCGAGTGCCAGAACCGCACACCTCAAGGTCCCCCCCGCGCCTCGATTCGCTGCTTCTCAGCTATCGCCTCGCAACTGCTGGGCTCAGAGGCGGCCCGGCCCTGCCACCTGGCTCCGGAGCCCACGTTTTATGTGCTGCGATAGGCAGGGAATGCGGGAAACCAGGGATGCCCCAAAAACAAACCTAGGTCCTCCAGTAGAGAGGGTAGAATAAGTCGGTACCGACCTTTTTTAGGTAGTCTATTTTAGTAGGGGAACCCTCCCCCAAAAAGGGTAACAGGGCACTACTGGGGGCCCTAGAACCCATAGGGGATGGGTTGTAAGGATCATTCCATTTCTCATTCCCTGCCTATCTCACTATCAACTAGAGCGACATATCCTTTGAGTTTGATGTACCCATCAATTCACATGGAACCTGACGTTCGGGGGTCCCTCTACGGAAATGGCCCAAACCATCCTCCCTGTTTCGTCAAGCTCGTTGATTGGTGGGAGGCTGACCGCCTTGATGTCATATTCAAGAAATCAAAAGCCAATTTTGGTGCAGGTTCTAAGGAAAACCCGTATGATGCCAAGATTGTTGGGTTCCTACCTTGGACACTTAGCCAGTTGAACGCTTTTGTGGCAGAAGGGCGACTCCAGGACCCAGACTTGAAACGAGCCCAGGTCTGCAAACCTTTGCGCTGATCTCTGAGCCAATTAAAACACACAATCATGATACAACATGATACATCATGACACATCATAAAACATGACACCTCTCAAACCCCGCATGCGACCCCCGCACTCCCCGCGCTCCCCGCGCCTGCCGTCCAGCTTCTCCAGCAGCCAGGCCCTGCAGTCGCCGGAGCAGGCCACCTGTACCTCCCAGGGAGAGGCGGCCTCACCTGAGCTCGCTTGCGGGCGAGGGCATTCGAAGCACTTCCGGTCCTTTTTTGGTGGGTTTGGAAGGGACACCAACAGGGACACCGCTATGTTCCCCAAGCCCTTTTTGGCGGGTTAGAGCCATCTTTTTGGTGGGTTTTAAAGGGAAACCACAAGGACAACCACGATTTTGGCGCGTAGTTTGGAGGGGTTCCCTAAAGAAAGAGACAACCACATGGAAATCAACATCTCCGAAAGATGACTTGGTCGCTGGCAGCCAAACCATAGCTGCTTCTCAGCATGCTTGTACCACCAAGGGTCGCTGATCTCTTGGCTGGCTCCCACCTATCCAAGCGCAGTGTTCGAAGTCTGGCAGTTTGCTTTCGGAAACTCCGGGGACCCTGGCGGTTGAAATGGAGGACAGCGAACTCGCGTTCATTCCCCCCTTCTCGGCTTGCCTGCCTTGTCCCGATGAAAAGCGAGTGCCTTGACAGTGTGTCTGAATAAGCCCCTGCTGAACCATCCTGAAGGGAGGGACCTCCACGCTTGCGATCACTCCGGCGAAGCTGCAAACATAGCCTTGCTTGGGTGGACTGCTTCGATGGCAAGTGCTTTTGCATCCATTTTGGGGGATTTTTTGGGTTAGCTCTTCAGAATGGGGAGGTGTGGCTTAGAATGGTCATGCAACACCCGCGCCTTATGCAATATTTTTCTCATTCTTCCCAGGCCTCCCGTTTGCCACTTGGCCCTTTTTCTGCGTGGCCATCCCCCACCCCTTCCGCTCACCTTGCCGGATCACCGCCGCAATGGCCGCGGCACCTGGCAGTTGACCGCGGAACGTGGCCGAGTGGTTCAACTAGCAGCTACACTCCCTCAGACTAACATGAAAGCTCCTCAATTGGCCTCTGTAAATGGAACCAAGTCTTCCAAACTGCTGGGGACCATCGGCGGCCGCTGCAAGCTGTAGGGTTCGACCATACGATTCTGCAGTGCAGGGCTGGCCCGACTTGACCCTGCCAGAACGGTACATGGGCATCTATACCACGCGCTCCCGCAAAGGAAACTCAGGGACATCATTCACTTGTCATACGCCTACGGCGTACTCCGCGCAACCACTGAATCCAACAGGAACTGAAGCTCAGCACATCCAAAAGATCCTAGAAGTAAAATAAGTTGGTTGGCACGTGTAAATGTTGCATAGTGGTTGGATGGCCTCAGTTTGCGATCTGTAACATTCATTCGCAGCTCGCACATTCCTGAACAGGCCTGAAGCTTCCAACGATTCATGGGACGTGCAAGTCGGCCACTTTAACATTCCCGAATCAGAACTCATGAGAACCAGCAAGAACCACGGGGTGAAAACGATTAACCTCCACTGGACTGACAAGATATTTGATTCAAAGCCAAAGCAAACGTGCATCTGCTTCGTCTAACTCAAGCGCTGAGCAACATATTTGTTGTTTTTCTGCACCTAGTTAGAGTAAAGGGTTTGACCTTTGAACCAGGTGCTCACATTCGCAAGTCATTCCCAACCTTGGCTACCTTTGAGATTTCCCGTGAACCAGCTTGCTTGCACAAATTCCCGCGTTCTGAAAGCCAATTCACTCCAGTCACTTGGATAAGTGGGATGCGCTTCAGTGGCAAGGACATGATGGAGACATCCAAAGTCTGGCTGCGTCCAGGTCAAACCTCACCGCACCTCCCGGCATTTACTTGGATTCCCCTTTCTGAAACAATCCATACGTGTGATGACCTCCAAGTGTGAGGAAATCATGCGATCCAAAGTCTGGTGGCCTCCAGCAGCCACGTTCCCAGCCGCCAATCCCCCGCCTGAGGCGTAGGCGGGCCGCCCCAGCCCCGCCGCGCGCAGCGCGGCGTCGCTGCCGCGGAAGGCGGCGCTCAGGTCGCCGCCTTCCGCCACGAGCGCGGGGAGCAGCGCCTGGATGGGTGGAGCGCCCCTCAGGCCCAGGTGGATTCTCTATATTGCCAATGGCTCCCCAAATCATAGTTGAAACATATAGAAGATTATATTATACTAACCACTATGTTTATAACTAACAGCAATGACGATATCGAGAGAAAGGATTTGATACATTCGGGCTGAAGTCGAAGGGGGAATAGCCGGCAAAAAAATGATGCCCTCTACTCAAAGTCATACCCTCCCACCAATTACAGTAACATGGAGCCTGACTTTCGGGGAGGTTCCCTTTAAAAGGCAAATGGTCCAAACCTTTCATGTTGATTGGGGAGGGTAGCCCTTGTTTTGGGTTGAACATTTGGGGGTAATTATCCAAAGGTGATGATTTTGTTTTGTTCGTACCTACGGCTGTTCTCCTGTGGGGGCGGCCAAAGTAACCAAAAAAAGTAGACGTTCACAGTTCTTTGTTTGCTTGGATCCTCGCTCTGAAGGAACAAACGCATTTCAGGGATCCACATACCCAGCAGCAGCAGCAGCAGCAGCAGCAGCAGCAGCAGCAGCAGCAGCAGCAGCAGCAGCAGCAGCAGCAGCAGCAGCAGCAGCAGCAGCAGCAACAGCAAAAGCTAGCAGCAGCAACAGCCAACACAACAAACACAAGCCCGGCCGCTGGAAAAACATTTCTCTTTTTGAATGGCTTTTTGAGAAGGGCCGAGATGTAATTTGGGAATCCTAACGGGGAAAAACAAAAAATGGTCCTCCGATTTTTCGAATCAGAGTCCCGCAGCCATGACATAGGGCGCCTTCAGCGCGCCGGCCACGACGTGGCCCTTCTTGCCATGGCCGTCAAGCACCATGGCCTGTCGCAAGCGGACGAAAAGCCATTCACACCTCGGAGAGCTTGCACAGGCTAAGGCACAGCAATGCCGTGAAACCAAGTGTATTGTAGATATACAAATATATGTGTATATATATATATATATATATCTACAAATGTATACAGCACATGAAGAGAAAGAGAGAGAGAGAGAGAAGAAAGAGAGAGAGAGAGACACCACACACCCACGCACACAAATACGGTCACACACAAAGACAAACACACACACACACTCACTCACTCACCGACACACACACACACACAGAGAGACACCCACAAAGGCACACACACACACACTCTCACAGCACACACACAAACACACACACACACACGCACAGACAAACACACAGGCACACACACACAAGATTATCAAATCAACAAACACACAAACAATCAAACACACAAGTCACATAACACTCAAAAACACACATACAAACACAGCACACAAACACACAAACAGACAGACAAAGAAAACACAGACAGACAGACAGACGGACGGACGGACAGACAGTCAGTCAGACAGACAGCCAGCCAGCCAGCCAGACAGACAGACAGGACAAACAGACAGACAAACAAACAAACAGGGCGACACACACACACAGAGCACGCATACACGCACCACGCATGGACACACACACACAAGCACACGAATACGCCCGACTGCACATAAAAGCACACTTGTGTTCACACCTCAAAGCGACACATCTTCTTGACCATAAGCGCTTTTGCGCCATCCCTTGTATCTAGATCAGTCAGCCAACCAAAAGCCATCGAATGTGTGCTGCTGCTTTTCAAAGCACTTACCCGATCACGTGTATCAGTGTCAACTTCACTGGTTCAACACCCTTCTCTGAAGGCCAAACTACAGAGTGGCCCCGTGCCAATGCGAATTCTTGCCCGGCCGTATCAAGACATGCAACCTGGATGATCTAAACACATGATGATGGCCGACGAATCAATGGTTCTGTTTCGCAGATGATGTAACAACATGCGTAGGTGTTCATTTTCTTTCTCTGCAACTTGGCAAAGCAAAGCTATGCAGACAGAGGAGGAAGAATGATACAAAGAGGCATCATTCGAGGAAATCCGACAGCAGCTGGGAAAAATGACATGTAAAGCTAGATGTTAACCTTGTCCTCTCCTACCCACAACCACGGGAACAAGCCATCAGTCGTATAAGCTGCCTTGTGAGTCAGGACAAGTTCTTGCTCGCGAGCTATCCACTCACGTCCATTCAACGTACTGCATCAGGATGTATCGCTGTTTCCCTCCATATTTCCCTCCAATGATATCAAGCTCCCAGTTGCGGGTGCAGCAATGGCGCACACGTTGCGATGCTTCAAACTCCAGTTCACCAGAAGCCCACATGACATTGGCACGTGCTGACCATTGGTGGACCCCATGCGAAAAGCCAATCCCCACGTGTGACACGGTAAGTCACAACCCTTGTAGGTGTCTGGCATGGCAAAAGGTCTGAAGGACCAACACGTGACCGAAATCACTTCGACAAATCCCCCATCCTGCAAGCGTCCATCCGGAAGCTTGGCCACATAGCAGGCATCCTGCAACACTGCACGAAGACCTCATTGGAGGTTGATCAAAATCATGAACCCTTGTAGCCCTCTTGGAAATGTGGCGCTCAATACGATCAGGGTCCAAGAAGAAGCACCCTGATGAATGTATGCTTGACCCGCCCACTGTTGGTGAACTGAAGTTCAGAATGTGCAGCACGAATGCCCAGAGGTGTGCCATGGCCAAGATGCGATCTTGAATAAGGTGAGTCAGGCCACACGAATCATTGTGAGCTCATTCCCGCTTGCATGCGATTGATTGTCATAGCGCCTTAATTTATCAGACAACAAAATAGGCAACCTGAAAGACATGATCAACTAAATATTTTGTCTTAGTCCCGTGACTAAAAACTGGGCCTCAAAGGGACAATGGGACACCGCGTGCTGAAAAGGTTGGCCTCGGACGAACTGAGCACGTCTAGACATGGTCGGCCGAAACTTGGCGTGCGGAACATCTTGACATGGATGAGGCCCTGGCCGAAAGACTACGAGCATAGAGAGCTGTCGAAGCGGCTTTGAGCCAATGGTGCCGGGGTTGCGGGCCGTTTTCGGTTTGTGAGTTGGACGCTTGTCAACACGGACGTTGATTGTTGTCCAGTGTATTCAACCGGCAGACATCCCAAAACCTGACTGCCTGGAGCCCACCAAAACTCCAAACCTCCCTTGTGTCTTGAGGCACCCGACCAGGGCCGAAAGGTCAGAAGTCCGATCATGCACACTCGAAATGCGACAGGGTGGCTTCCCCTTGCCTGGTTCACCTTTGGCCTGTCAGGGTCCACCCCGCCAGCAGACACCATGCCGCAGCCAGGCACGTCGGGTCCCGCGCCTGCGAAAAACACTCGCCAAGAGTCTTGGCCATTTGGGTTGATTACACACATGGGTGTGGCTCAAAAACAAAGAGATTGGGTTACGCAGGCTTTAGTGTTTAGTTACTTTTACCAAGGTGTCGTTTTAGTACATTTATTTGAGCCACACACACATCATCATGAAAGTGTATGTAGGGTTTGGGGGGGGCTATCCCTGGATAGGCCCAGGATAAGCCCTGCTAAAGGCGTTATTGCGGGATTAATAAGGGATATAGCCCCCCTCCCCATAGCCCATAGTTCCCCTTAGCGGTCCTTGAGTCCTTGACACTGGTTTGGTGGATGTGTTAAACTTTATGCTCAAGCAATTGTTCAACAACACTCTAGCGGGTTTGGCAACTTGTCAGGGTAGCCTTGCACGGCAAAATGCGTGCTGTCTCCATAAGATCTGTCCGAATACACATAGGCTACGGCTATGACTAGGTGCCTTGAGTTATCCCCGAACAGTGTGACTCGTGGTCCGTTTCAATCAAAGTAGCGTGAAGCTCCTAGCAGTCCATGCCCAAGGATTTGGGCCAGACTGCAGCCTTACTCTGTGGTTAGTTGCTCCAAATGCTTCCAAGGGCTGAACTATGAGACCCCGCAAAAGTCTTACAAGCTCCTGCTGTTTTGCAAGCTGCCAAACGTATTAACCCTGACCCAAACAGCAACACGTCTCCCACGTTGTCTACCCCTTTCATCCGTCACCTTGCCTACCAGTAGCTCTTGACCCCGCCTGCCGGCCACTCGCAGCGTCTGGCCACTCGTGCAGCTCGCGCATGGAGTCCCCGCGTGGCCGGCAGCCTCAAATTCCGGAGTGGATGGGCCAAACAACGCAACCAAACGTTTTACACGCTGTGTCCACCACAATTTACTTTTTATGATGATCATTATTACTCCTATTATTGTTCTCATTATTACAACAGTTGAATAATCACGTCCAAACATATTTATTATCATTATTATCATTATAACAAGCTTCAAGTCCGAAAACGGACCTTCGGAAGCGAGGAGCTGCATTGTCCGTGTCGCTCTCGCCCACCTCGCGCAGGCAGCGGCCGTGGCCACCGTCGCCGCGGAGACTTTGGGCGGCGAGCGGAGCACGTGCGGCGGCAAGTGCCTCACAAAAATGGCCCCGAGGGTTTTACGGCAAAGAAAACGCCCCGTGTTTGTTGGTCCCTTTTAAAGGGCCCCCCAGGGTTGGTATTTGTTTACGGCAAATAAAAGGCCCCGTGCTTGTTGGTTCATTGTAAAAGGGACAAAACAGACCCTTGAAGGAACCCCCAAAACACAACGAGCGGGTGTTTTGGGGGTTGTGGTTGCGGGGTAGTGACCTTGGTCTTAGACCTTCCCTTTCTTCGGTGGTGGGTTTCGTGTCCAGGCCGTTTTTGCACAATCCCTACAATGAAGCCAATCCAAAGGGGACCCAGGGATAAGGATTAAGGCTGATCAAGGATTACCTTTGAACAGTCCGGCCATACTTCGTTGCTTCCCAAGCCCCCCAATTGCCCCGTCCAGCCTCACACTGGGATGAAGAGGTTGCCTGTCCAGCCTTACACTGGGATGAAGAGGCACATCCATTGCCATGGCAAGGGACGGTCACGGTGACAGGTGCCAAACAATACGTGCCCTCCGCAAAAGCAACATGCTCAGCAGGATGCATGAGCGTAACTTCTGGTGCGCTCAAAGTGCCATGCATAGCACTATAAACCTAATTGTCCTTGACTGGCCCCGCATCTTTAGCCAGGCGCACTGATACCTCCAAGGATGATTAAACTATTACCCTTTTTGCTTGCATTGTGTTGATTGTGGTGTTCTTCTAGTGCGCATAGTTCAAAAAGAATGCCGACCAATCAAACATTTATCACCGCGCGTGGCAGCAAATTTTCCTGCCGTGAGCCTCCATTCGACCCGGGGTCTTAGCCTACCGATTTCAGTCAGCTCAATATGTACGTGGGTGTGGCTCCTTCGGTCCGAAACGCGCACCTTGATTTTGTTCGAGCAAATTGGCAATTGACCCTCCCTCCCACGTTGCCATGGCAACTGACACAGGGTACCTCAAGAAAAAAACATCTTCCAGGTACCCTCCCACAAATGCAATATTGGAGGGAGGGTACCAGCTCTTCTTTCACTTTTACAGTCTTAAGTAGTCATGCCATAAGGAGGGGAGCACAAAAGACCGAGGTAGCAACAGTCCATTAGAGGCGTGCTCGCCAAGCTGTTCAAACCAGTTTGCCCACTCAAGGTATGTAATTCGAAGAATCCAATGGGTTCAGGTTGGCAGGAACAACAGTGCCGCGAATAATCGTGCTGTGAAGCGCAACTCAGCGCAACAATCCGGAGCATGCCCGAAATGGTCCACCTTGCATCAAAACCTTGCATGGCAATGCTGTCATTCCAGGTAACTTCGCTCTTGCTCGCAACTGTTTTGCTTCCCCATGCGCCATCGTAGCAGTTCGAATCGAAACCATCACTCAGCAATCTGAGGTGGAAGATCCAACCTGCCAAATAAGCGAACACGGTCTTCTTCATTAGAAGGCAACTAACTTGCCTGGAACGCCCCTCGCGACACAGGCGACCTTCCTTTCGGAAGAACTCCTGGGAAAATTGTCAGGAGGGCTCATGTCTGAGCTGCGATGCAGGGTCTGCGATCAGAAGCTGGAAACTACCCTCGACTAAAGCACCAGATGCACGACCAGGCTTTGCCACTTGATGGACCGCTTTTGGTGAAAATAGATGAACGCCCCCCAAGAGTGCAGAAACTAAACATAGGTCAACCTGGGCATAATTGCCTCTGGAATTTCATCGCTTTTTGGGAATGCCCTTGTGCTCTTTCGCCAGTTGTTCAGGCTGGCGTTTGCCATCCAGACTTCTTTGTGCAGAACCGGCAAGGCATTGTCGTATCATTATCCGCTCAAAATAATGCCACTGCAAAAAGAAGGGCCCACATGCCTGTGAGCTTAGCAGGAGCTGCCAAGTTAATCATGAAGCCGCTGCCCCATCCGTCATCCGTAGTGCTTGGACCGCTGGAGCCGCTGGAGCCATCGTTGGCAGGGCCTGCGCAGCGCTGAAAGAAACTACTGAAACGCATTCGCTGAGAAATTCAAGGTTTCACGGGCTCATGCATGATTGAAGAGCCAACAATTGCCTGTAAAAGCAGCCCAATTCAAACACAATCATCAAATTCAAGCCGCCTCAAGTTGCAAGGGACCCCAAACAGTGTGAATCGGAGACCAAAACCACGGAGAAGGTTCTCTAACTTTGTTTTGTGCTTCAAGCTCTCTCGGGAAGATCTCGATAGACGGTTCTCGACAAAATCTGTTTGCACGACCTCTCTACAAGGTCCATGAAAAGTCCTGCAATACCTCTTGCTAAACAAAAATGCGCAACAGCTTCTAAGCAGGGTTTGCTTGGACATCTTGTGGACGACCTTTGCAAAATCCGTTTTACATGGTCCTGTGCAAGGTCTCTTTGGAGGAATCTTCACCTCTGATCTACACATGAAAGGTGAATTCTTGGAAGGCGCTCAGAGTTCTCCTCGCGATCTTGAACAAGGACCTGTGTGCGATGTGCTTTCTTGGGAGGATCTCGACGCATCATGAGCGACAGCTCTTAGAGAGGATCTAAATAGTTCTGCGCGAGAGGACATCTTGAAGGGGCTCGTGAGGAGATCTCTTGCGGAATCTCCAAAAAGGATCTGTGGATAAGGTGTCTTGAGAGGATCTCGATGAACAGTCTGCAAGATCTAGATGCAAGACGTCGTAAGGGGTCCTTGCGCAGGTTTTCTTTGCTGGAAGCTCATGCGTGACAGCTCTTGGAGAGGAACTGTATGATAATACTGTGAAACAAAACGACAGCATCTTCTTAATGGTGACAACTGATTAGTAAACCCCCCCCCTCCCCCCCCCCAGGTCGACAAGTCCCAAAAATTGAGATTTTTGGGAGGACCCCCCTGATTACTCTGGAGCCCCTTCGGTCCTGGTCCTCTTACTTCTGGTCCCTTCGGGGCAGTAGGACTTTCACAGGCAACAGCACAGTTTTTTGGTTTTGAGCCCAAAAGGGCCCTGATTAATCGCGGACACGTTTCCTGTTAATGAGGGGGGACTGGCCTTCAAGGGGCGTCCCCTTTGTAGCTTGAAAACCTTGTCATTTTAAACAAACTTTAATAAAGAAAAATGCATTTCGGGGGAAGCACATGTTTGGGAAAAACTTGAGGGGTTCAATAGTGACTTAGTATTTATGGGTTTAAGCACAGACTAAGCAAACACTAAGCAAGAAGGAAAGCACCTTTTCTGGCAGGTTTTTGTTGGCTTGGGGGCTGCAAAGGGATACCTTTAAATCAGGGGAGGTTTGGGGAGGGCCCAAAAATAATTGGGTAGGTTTTTTTTTGGGGAAACCTTGTTGGCACTTTACTTTAGTATTTTTGAGAATCTGGGGGGAAAAGGGGGAACCTTTAATCGGGGGGGGTTTACTAATCGTCTCCTGACATTACAAGGCCTGTGCAAGATCCCTTCAGAGGATCATACACGAACATTCAAGTCAACCAAGCAAATCAACTAGACAGGTTGCTGTCCGGAGCCCGCAGTTTTGGTAGAGGTGTGAGGTGAGTACGCAGTTCGACTGGAATGGTCTTGGGTGAACTGTCCCTTCCCCAGGGATGTCTTTTGCCACCGTTTGTGAGAAAATTGGTAACCCCCTCAAAAAGGAATCCTTCACTACGAGCCGATCATTTTTCCCCACAAAAGTTGGCAAAAAGACCCCCCTGTTCCTGCACCCCCTTTTCCTGTGCTTTTGGACATTTCTTCTCTCCTGGCTCGCCGTTGCTCATGGTGCCGTCCGTGCACTCGTACACGGGCGCAGTGGTGCTGGGGGGCGTGGTGGTGGTCCCGCAGGCCCCACAGGTCTTCGCGCAAGTCGCGGCCATGCGCTCCGCCGTGTCGTCCGCCTTCCCGTCCTACGAGATGTCTGGCGATCGGTTCGATAGGCAGGAGAGATGAGTTGGATGACCCCAAGAAAAAACCATCCCCGATTTGGTTTCCTTTCAGGGAAATTCCCTTCCGGTTCATTCCCACCCCGCGGAAGGTCACCTTTTTCAGTGCGTTCACATCGTCAAATGTGTCCATTTCAGTTTCGGAGCCCTTCTGGATTGTAAGAGTTCGCAAGTGGCAGGATTCTCTCCCTTCGTTTCGGAGCTCCATGGCGGAGCAACCAATGAACGGACCTACCAACCAAACAACCAGACCTAGCAAATCCAAACCAACCAAACCAACCAACCAAACCAACCAAGCCAACCAAACCAAGCCAACCAACCAAACCAACCAAACCGACCAAACCAACCAACCAAACCAACCAAGCCAACCAAACCAAGCCAGCCAACCAACCAAACCGACCAAACCAACCAAACCAGCCAAGCCAACCAACCAAACCAAGCCAACCAACCAACCAAACCAACCAAACCGACCAAACCAACCAAACCAGCCAAGCCGACCAACCAACCAAACCAACCAAACAGACCAAACCAACCAACCAAACCAACCAAACCAACCAAACCAAGCCAACCAACCAACCAAACCAACCAAACCGACCAAACCAACCAACCAAACCAACCAAACCAACCCAACCAAGCCAACCAACCAACCAAACCAACAAACCGACCAACCAACCAAACCAACTAAACCAACCAAACCAAGCCAACCAACCAACCAAAACCACCAAACCGACCAAACCAACCAACCAAACCAACCAAACCAACCAAACCGACCAAACCAACCAAGCCAAGCCAACCAACCAACCAAACCAACCAAACCGACCAAACCAACCAACCAAACCGACCAAACCAACCAAGCCAAGCCAAACAACCAACCAAACCAACCAAACCGACCAACCAACCAAACCAACCAAACCAACCAACCAAACCAACCAAACCAACCAAAACAAGCCAACCAACAAACCAAACCAACCAAGCCAACCAAACCAAGCCAACCAACCAACCAAACCAACCAAACCGACCAAACCAACCAAACCAGCCAAGCCAACCAACCAACCAAACCAACCAAACCGACCAAACCAACCAACCAAACCAACCAAACCAACCAAACCAAGCCAACCAACCAACCAAACCAACCAAACCGACCAAACCAAACCAACCAAACCAACCAAACCAAGCCAACCAGCCAACCAAACCAAGCAAACCGACCAAACCAACCAACCAAACCAACCAAATCAACCAAACCAAGCCAACCAACCAACCAAACCAACCAAACCGACCAAACCAACCAACCAAACAAACCAAACCAACCAAACCGACCAAACCAAACAAGCCAAGCCAACCAACCAACCAAACCAACCAAACCGACCAAACCAACCAACCAAACCAACCAAACCAACCAACCAAACCAACCAAACCAACACAACTAAGCCAACCAACCAACCAAACCAACCAAGCCAACCAAACCAAGCCAACCAACCAACCAAACCAACCAAGCCGACCAAACCAACCAACCAAACGAACCAAACCAAGCCAACCAACCAACCAAACCAAACAAACCGACCAAACCAACCAAGCCAAGCCAACCAACCAACCAAACCAACCAAACCGACCAAACCAACCAACCAAACCAACCAACCAAGCCAACCAAACCAACCAAACCAAGCCAACCAACCAACCAAACCGACCAAACCAACCAACCAAACCAACCAAACCAACCAGACCGACCAAACCAACCAAGCCAAGCCAACCAACCAACCAAACCAACCAAACCGACCAAACCAACCAACCAAACCAACCAAACCAACCAACCAAATCAACCAAACCAACCAAACCAACTAAACCAAGCCAACCAACCAAACCAACCAACCAAACCAACCAAACCAACCAACCGACCAACCAACCAAACCAACCAACCAACCAACCCAAGCCAACCAACCAACCAAACCAACCAAACCAAACCGACCAAACCAACCAACCAAACCAACCAAACCAACCAAACCAAGCCAACCAACCAACCAAACCAACCAAACCAACCAAACCGACCAAACCAACCAACCAAACCAACCAACCAACCAAACCAACCAAACCGACCAAACCAACCAACCAAACCAACCAAACCGACGAAACCAAACCAACCAAACCAACCAAACCAACCAACCAAACCGACCAAACCAACCAAACCATGCCGACCAACCAACCAAACCAACCAAACCAACGGTTCCAATTCAGCCCTCCATTTTTGCATCCCCTCCTCCGTAACCGTGGGCCGATTGCACTCGGCCTTCGCCTCCTCGCAGGACAGTTGCCTCAGCTCGACGCCTTTTGGTGAACCGGAAGTCCCTTCGGTGATGCACGGGCTGGATTGCAACCATTGGGTGGTTGGGTTGGTTGGTTGGTCGGTTGGTCGGTTGGTCGATTGGTCGGTTGGCTGGTCGGTTGGTTGCTGGATTGCAACCGTTGGTTGGTTGCCCGCTTAGGTCATGTCATGTTCGAATCTCGTGGCAACCTCATTCTTACACAGATGGCTAGCTGATAGTGATTTCTATCTTAGATGCTCAAAATCCAGATGGGCAAAGAAACAAAGGCACATAAACAATATCAACACACACACACACACACGCACACAATTACGAAGACGATACAAACTACTTGCTGGGTGCTTAGCAGGGAATGAGGGAATGACCCCTATAAACCATCCCGTATGGTTTGCTTTCAGACCCCTGGGTTCTTTCCCACATTCCCTACTGAGCACCGGCAAGAATATGACGTACAACGAATTGTCATTTGTAACTCACACTCGGCAGGAATCCAACGGCCGTGATTCGAGTTTGTCGCCCTGTGAAATCGGTGGGGCGGGGGGCGAAGGAGCAACTCGAAGACTCGAAGTCTGTTGTCCGGTCTCGTTTTGACAGGTCCCATGTGTTAACATATCTTACACTTCGATGTTGGTTCTTCCTCATCGCCAACTTCAACCGGGCCAAAGCATCTCTCTGACTCTAAGTTGCTTTTCTCTGCTTTCCGAAAGGCTAGAAGGGAACCTCGCAGCCTCGCAGCCGCTGTCTTTGGAAACGTTGTCTGTTCAAAAAGAAGAGCCCCCGAGAGGCTTGGCTGGAGACTTGGATGACAGAATGAATCATGATGACAACACACCAAACTTAAAACAAGTGTCATGCCGGGAGCATAACACAAATGGCAGCAAACAGCAGCAACCTGCATTTGAAATTTCAGAAGTCCACGGAACCAAAACTTTGGACCAAAGCAGGGGCCCAACAGATGCCCAGAGGGTCCAAGAACCTTCTGAGGATGGCTTTTGGGGGGTCAAAAGGGGTCGTTCAGTACATCCGTAGAAGGCACCAGGGGACATTCCGGCATGGCCGATTTTCCGCTTCCCTCCAAAACGTCGCCCATGCGACCGGGCGCCGCACCAAACTTTTCCCGAGCCATGGAGCCTGCCGCCCATCATAAAGGGCGCCATGCCGCTGTCGACGCAGGCCGCAGCTGGCGGTGGCAGGCCGAAGGTACGGCTGCCCAGGTGGCAGCTGTTCAGGAAGTCCACCTTGGCCTCGTCTTCTGCAGCGGGGTGGGGGTGGGTCCCGCCTTGGTTGGCGTTGGAAGGGGAGCAAAAAAATAAATTTTAGCAGTTAAGCGGGGATTTCCCACTAAACCACAATAAGCAAAAATGTAAAATGTTTCCCAACAACAACAACCATGGGGTGGGGTGGGGGTGGGGGTGGGGGTGGGGGTGGGGGTGGGGGTGGGGGTGGGGGCAGTGGGGGTGGGGTGGGGGTGGGGTGGGGTGGGGTGGGGTGGGGTGGGATCATGTAGGCATGTCAGGATAAATAGGAGGGCAAGGTGTGGTGAAATGCAGGCATTCCTGGCTCTGATAGAAGGCTTGCATGGGAGGCTGACACCAATCTGTCCCTGCAAAGTCGTCCAATAGGTCAATGGAAAAATACAAGAAACCCAAACACAGTTGAGTGCAAGGCCAGTTGCCCCCAACTCCAATGGCCTCTTTGCGGGCCCCAGCAGTTGCTGACTGGCTTCATGCGCCCAACTCCTCTCGTGTTTACAAAGGGATCGTCGCAGCTTTCACTGTCTCTTGATAGGATTGAGGCTGCAACGAATTTCGGAGGCCCTGGTCCACGTCGCCTTGTTGCAACCAGCGGATCTTTCTTCGGATCCAAACCTTTTGCATACCTTTTGCTACCCGTGTTTTGCAGCCCCTCAGGTCGGTTCGGCGCCGCCTATCGGCAAGCACTCCCCGCAGCAGGATAATTGTGAGCCATTGTGACGTTAGATATGGGTGTGGGTCAAAAATAGGTACCCAAAATGGAAGTCTGGAAAATGGAACCAAGGACTAAAACCTGCGGTCCCCAGGTGGTTTAATTTTGATCCGTACCCATATGAAGCTCACTCCATTGACTTATCAAGGGGCCTGAGTTGTAGGGGTTCCTTCGAATTCGAAAAGTCGTGCGACACTGACTTGCGCACTGGGAGTGATCAAGGGAAACATCATGGACGCAACTCAGAATCTCAGCGCTGGAACAAAACCAACATAATTTTGGTGAATGTGGCCTCATAACGCAGACTAAACCGGGTAGCACAACCCATTTGCACAAACAATAGTCCTAAGTGCTGCTTTAAAGGAATCATGACTCTTCAGCCTCTCCCCCACTTTTCAATCAAATCTCGACCGATGACCGACCGATGACTAATGCCTTGTACTCGGGCGTGACTTCCTCGTCATCTGCTTCGGAGCACACACCGCAGGTCTTTGGGCAATACTGCCTGGTGGAGTCGCAGAAGTGGGGCACCTCATTCGCCAAGAATGAAATTCCTGATCGGACCTTGCCACAAAGGCGTAGATACCGTGGAGCTGCGATGTCTTTTGAGATAAATCTACTCAAACAATGTACATTGGCTTCTTCGCATTTCAGAACACACGCCTTCAATGTTTTAGACAAGACTCAAACAAAGTTTGAGCAATTCAGAATGCCATCAATTAGGTGCTTGAAAGAAGAGGTCCCAGGATCACTGATTGAAAAAGGAGATCAGCTCCATGATCTGATCACCTTTCAGAAGTCAAATGCGACATCTCCCACAACCTCCGGCCCCCACACCTTGCCTCATAGCACAGGGCCTTCCGGCACTCCTCACCACTGGGGCAGGTGGTGGGGCCGTAACCCTTGCCGCCCCCAGCATCCACGCCGTCCATGCACTTGAACGGAGCAGCTGGGTAGGGCTCAAAGCAGGGGTCGTCCTAAGGACGAAAGAAACCCAGCTGAAAACAACATGACCGCAACCCGGATTCCAGCCCCCCACCCCCCCGCCCGCCGCCGCCTGCCACATTGTGGCAGAACCAAACGAGGGACTGTGCCTGCAGATTGTGTGAAGAAACGCACAAGCTACAAAATTCAAGCCGAACAGAACAGCTTTCTTCTCAGCCCTCTAGCTGACTTCAACGTGCAGTTGGATTCACTTTTGCTGCTATGCTCACCTGATACCTGACAAAATGAGGCCAAGCCTCGGCTTACTTTCAACCCCCAGCTTCGAATTAGAACTCCCCACTGGAGGTGCACAGGACCAGCTCTTGCTGAGGCTTTGAGTTGCAAGCAGCAACATCTAGGCCACATGTTTATGCCGCTTCAACCACACTATCCGCTTTGCAACCTATGGGGTGTTCATGTTCCGGCTTTCCGCTCTCGTATCAACTCTAGATTAAGTGTGTGTGTGTGTGTGTGTGTGTGTGTGTGTGTGTGTGTGTGTGTGTGTGTGTGTGTATGTATGTATGTATGTATGTATGTATGTATGTATGTATGTATGTATGTATGTAGGTATGTATGTATGTATGTATGTATGTATGTATGTAAGTTTGTGTGTTAATGGGTTGATGGGTTAATGGTGTCTTTTCGCACAGCCCGAACATACATTCATGAATAGATGTATGCATATATATATATGTAAGTATCTTACATAGTTAGATTCATATTATATATATATATATATTGTGTATTGAATCATATCATATCGTATCATTATATATAATATTATACAAACTATTACATATTATATTCTAGATTGTACACAAATGATACATATGTATATATATACACACTGTATAATACACACATAATATAATTCTCACACCCACACATATCCGTCATGGCGTTTTTGTAAAACCTACAACCATGTCCTCTTGGATATTGCTAACCTTGCCTTTTCATCGCCGAGGCTCCGTGGGCTTCGCTATGGTGCCCAACTTGGGCTCGCAGGAGTCCGCGCAAATGGTCCAGCGCTCGATGGACAGCGTGCGGCCCGTGTAAATCACGGCCTCAGGCGGACTGGGACTGCGGTAATTACCGCCTTGGCGCATCGGGGTTGGAGAAGTGGCTGTTTCACGCGTGTCATTGTCTGGCCTGGCAAATGAGATAGTTCATGATATATTGTAGCACTTGTTTCTTGCCGGTGCTAGCTGTCTTTGTCGGAGCATTGTAAAGTCGCTCGTAGTGGTGTCCCGATCCATTTGCTCCCCAGCAGTTGCTGATCCTTCTCCGTGGCATCCCAATAGCCTGAAGTCTGTTGATTGGTGAACACATGCGAAAGGCATCCTTCAGCTGAGCCACGCAGCCATCATGCACCTGCACAGAAGCTTGCAGAAAGTCCCAGGTAAGCAACTGAAAAGAGGAGCTCCAATGAAATCTGTGGAGATCCGGGTCCCGAGGTGCCCAGGTGACTCAGGCTCGCCTGTTCCTCGCCTGTTCCTCACGTCATGGGTCACTGCGCAATCCTTGCAAATGTGTCACTGAGAACAAATTGTGTTGCGTCTAGTCCTCTCCCTCAGCCTGAAATAGCATCAGATCCTGGCTCAAGTTAGCTGAAACAGGTGGGATACTTCTCGCGTGGAACAAACTGCCAACACTTGAAGAAGCAAATGAAGGGCCCACCACGGGAACTGTTCAACATTCCAGCATTGAGGCATCCTCAATGGCAGGTGATGAGCCAAGTTCAGTTGTGTGTTCCTCGCGTTCAGTTGCTGCTTCTATGCGCGTTTAGCTGTTGCTAGCCTTCTCCAAGCTGGAACAACTGCAGCAGTCCCCACCTCAAATAGTTACTCTCCGATGCTGGTCTGAAAGAGACATGTCCAACGCCCGAGTTCAAAGGCAAGGGGACCCTGATTAGAAACGAGCATGAACTTCTTCTTCCATTTGCTTAAGCCCATTGGAAAAAAATAATAACATATTTCCAGTAGTGCTCGCTTCCTTTTACAACCAACAGGGGGAAGAACAACAAAAACAGATTCTTAAACAAAATGGAAGTCTTCTTGCACAAATTTGGGTCTCGTTTCGGGCTCTTAACCTGCACTCGAACTCCAGGATTCCCGGGATGCGCCTGGGGCGCGTCACCCTGGGGAGTGATGATGCCACCCTCCATGGACCAAAGAGGCCGGACCACGCTGACCTACCATTCTCGTGGGCCATGGGCCAGACAAAAATCCCATTGCATCACAGCTCCAAGAGGGATCTTGACTTCTCTGCATTGCGAGGAAGGGACGTATTCTTGGTTGCTGTTGAACCCTTTGCAAAAAGTTTAACTTTTTGTGGGTTTAGTGAAAAACTCCTTGACATTCCAAAAGTTAAAGTCTAAAGATCCAACCCAATAGCAGTCAAGTATTGAGCACGTGGTCAAAATGATTGATACATCAAGGCGGGTGATGTCTCCTGAACCCCATCCCGCGAAAGCTTTCGCGAGAAAGCACCGACCAATTCAGGCGATGCTTGTGGATTGCAGCCATGGGTCTCGGCCCAAACGACCTATGAAAGACAATCCAACCATCAGAAGCAAGGTTACCCTTACAGGGGGTCCCGTGAAAAGGACAACTCTCTTCAAGGAGCCCCATGTCAGGTTCCATGTTAATTGGAGGGAGGGAAACAGGTTTCCATGGGCAACCACTCACGCAACAATAGCTCCATGGTCCAGGCAACCTTCTGCCCCTCGAGCGCCCCGACCGCACTCTTTTGAGAAATATACTTAAGGCAAAGGAACTTCTGGTACAGAATGCGCCTGATGAAACTTTCGACAATGTGTTCCAAGCTTTAGACTGCAGCCCCCCGAACAGAAACGGGATGAAACGCGATGCCCTCATCAACCCATGACCTTGTGTCGGGATCAATTTGCAAGAAAGCTCCCAGTGCCAAACACCTTGTAATATTGGCTCTATCAAAACATGCATGAACAAAAAATCAACATTCGCAGGCCGGGCCCTCACTATGTCACCACCAAGTTCCCCTCCACCTGGCCGACCAAGGCAAAGTGCCTGGAGTCTCCATGACCCTTAAAAAAATGGGGTCATTACCCAAAATAATGGGATCACGGACCCCTTTTTAAAGGGTCATGGAGAGTCTAGGTGCTTTGCTGGACCCAGCCGGGCGTCATTATCATCCACCACCATAAACTCAGAGCGGACAAAGGTCTCCAAGCTCACGTCGCCGGAGCCGGAGCTGACCTCGCCGGCTGTCAGCTCAAAACGCCCAAATTGTCTCGCAAAGGGCGACATTGTTGTTGCTTGAATGTGTGAATAAAAGGATTTTGTATTGTAGTGGGGTGTTCAACCAGGTACAAAATATTTAGAACAAATCCATTGCATGCCACTTGGCGCTGGCTAGTTGAAGCGCCAGTCCTTCTTAAGGGAAGCTATGCCCCACCTTTTTCAATATCCGATTGAGCACGGGTGTTCAAGTAATATGCTGCCTGAAGCCCAAACCTGTCATTGACTCAGGGCTCAAGTCGGACACGGTGGGAGCCACGAGTACTGTCAAAACGTATCGCGACGTCACAGTTTGGCACACGCTATTCACTCATGAGTAAGCAAGCCGTTTGCACCAAGTAAAGCAAAAAGCCTGACTTGAGCAGTAGCCGGAGTCCTGCGCGCGCGCGCGCGGGTGTGTGCGCGTGCGCGTGCGCGTGCGCGTGCGCGTGCGCGTGCGCGTGCGCGTGCGCGTGCGCGTGTGCGTGTGCGTGTGCGTGTGCGTGTGCGTGTGCGTGTGCGTGTGCGTGTGCGTGTGCGTGTGCGTGTGCGTGTGCGTGTGCGTGTGCGTGTGCGTGTGCGTGTGCGTGTGCGTGTGCGTGTGCGTGTGCGTGTGCGTGTGCGTGTGCGTGTGCGTGTGCGTGTGCGTGTGCGTGTGCGTGTGCGTGTGCGTGTGCGTGTGCGTGTGCGTGTGCGTGTGCGTGTGTGCGTGTGCGTGTGCGTGTGCGTGTGCGTGTGCGTGTGCGTGTGCGTGCCGTGCGTGCCGTGCGTGCCGTGCGTGCGTGCCGTGCGTGCCGTGCGTGCCGTGCGTGCCGTGCGTGCCGTGCGTGCCGTGCGTGCCGTGCGTGCCGTGCGTGCCCGTGCGTGCCGTGCCGTGCCGTGCCGTGCCGTGCCGTGCCGTGCCGTGCCGTGCCGTGCCGTGCCGTGCCGTGCCGTGCCGTGCCGTGCCGTGCCGTGCCGTGCCGTGCCGTGCCGTGCCGTGCCGTGCCGTGCCGTGCCGTGCCCGTGCCGTGCCCGTGCCGTGGTGCGTAGCGTGCGTGCGTGCGCGTTGCGTGCGTGCGTGCGTGCGTGCGGTGCGTGCGTGCGTGCGTGCGTTGCGTGCGTGCGTGCCGTGCGTGCGTGCGTGCGTGCGTGCGTGCGTGCGTGCGTGCGTGCGTGCGTGCGTGCGTGCGTGCGTGCGTGCGTGCGTGCGTGCGTGCGTGCGTGCGTGCGTGCGTGCGTGCGTGCGTGCGTGCGTGCGTGCGTGCGTGCGTGCGTGCGTGCGTGCGTGCGTGCGTGCGTGCGTGCGTGCGTGCGTGCGTGCGTGCGTGCGTGCGTGCGTGCGTGCGTGCGTGCGTGCGTGCGTGCGTGCGTGCGTGCGTGGGTGGGTGGGTGCGTGGGTGGTCGTGTGTGTGTGTGTGTGTGTGTGTGTGTGTGTGTGTGTGTGTGTGTTTGTGTGTGTGTTTTGTCCTTCAACAGTTGGACATAAACACACAAAATGTGAAAGCTTCGCACTGCCGTGCACAAGGAAAATCCTCTGTATCACTGATCTCTACCAACAAATGCGCCCAGTTCGACATTTTCTCGCACCCGCGGCGAAGCTGGACCCTTGAGGGGCTCTCCAACACCACTTGCAACATCGTTGTCAAGTTGACAAACAAGGCGAATTCATATTCCAGTCGATCTAGTTCATTGAAAATGCTTGGCTGCAAAGTCAAACACTTGCCTTGACTAGGTTATGTTTTTGCTTCGTTTCCTGCTATAGCAAGCTGATTTGACCAAAGCGGCAACCATTTTTTTGACAAGCACCGAGAATGGACGCCCCCTCACAGCATCCTACTAGACCCAGAACAAAAGGCTGCAATGATGCAATCCTTCCTCCTTCCCAGGAGACACAGGACACAGCCATATGGCATCAGTTCCAAATCCGTTGGATCAACCCCGCCCAGGAAGCGCAAAGAATCCGTTGTTGCTTGCATCAATGACTGGCTTAAGAAAGACCGCATGCAAAGCAGCACCCATGTCTTGCCCAACAAAGGGTCAAAAGTCTGAAAATGGCTCGCATTGCGGCAGTTCCACCCAGGACCCGTCCTCATCTCTTCGCCTTGAGCCAAGGCGCGATGCTCTTGCAGCTGCTCACCGCATCTGGGGCGGCTCGCTCCTCGCAGGCTGAAGCGCGGCCGATCTACCAAAATCGCCGCGCTTCCTGAAAAATGCAACCAGGGTCTCTTTGTGGAGTTGGAGTGAAACCCAGAGGGTCCCCTGGTACCAAGGATGTACTGAACGACCCCTTTTGACCGCCCAAAAAGCCATCAGAAGATACCAAGGGAGCGTCCGGGAACGAAAGCCGTTTTCCAAGTCTTGGCATAAATGAAGTCCCCTATCGTTTGCCATGGCTTTGTGCATTTTTCACAATATCCCATGAAACACTGCATACTAAACACGAAAGTAACTTTGACGATACTTCATATGGCCGTGGGTCAAAAATAGGGTAACCCCAAAATGGGTTGCCCTGGCAAATGGAAACATGGACTAAAACCTGCGGTCCGCTGCTGGGTTAATTTTGACCCATGCCCATATAGACCGTTGGCATCGTTGCCCACGGCCATGGCCAGCTCCTCGCAGTCCTTCTCGGTCCAGTCTCGGTGGTGCCACTGCTCCCACATCAGCAAAATCCGATTCGCCCCCAGGCGCACGCCTCGCAAAGCGAACCCCAGCCCGTTCCCTCGGCTGTGGTTTCGCTAGATAGTAGGGGAGAGCCGTGGCTCAAGTGCCATGTTGCAACAGCCAAACAAGGTGCCCGAACAAGAAAGCGAGACAGGAGCGAGCTCGTTAGCCTTGCAGCGCTTGTTTTCCGAGGAAATGCGCAGACAAACGTTGACTCTGGCTTGGTGCCCGCGGAACAACGAGTTCCCATCCCTCAAATCAGCAAAATGACCCGCATTGCTTTTTCCTTCTTTTTTTTACCTCTTTTTTTTCCCCCAACAGCTGAAAGCTTTGGGGTCTCAGCCCAGATAGGCTTCGGGGTGGTCCGGGCGGCCCTGAGGAAAGGTTCCACCAGGGTTCCGCGAGGGCTCCACGAGGTTCGGCGAGGGCTGCGGGGTGGTGCGAGCACGAAAAAGAGCACCGCTTGCTGTTGGGGATATCACTTGAGCTTTTTTTTCTTTTTAACAAATCTTTAAACTTGTGGACGCCGCCCACATGGTCAAAAGCACGGTTTGACCAACGACAAGCCTTCCTTCTCATGAGTTGTGGTTTCCATGGTTTGGCAGGGAGCAAAAGAGCCTGTTCCCTTTCTTCTCTAAGCCAACATGTCAACCACCAAATAGCATGCACTACAAGAATCACAGCCTCCCTTCGGCCTCTGCACAAATATACTGCAAGCACAGTGCTGTTTGCAGTGCATACCTCCACCAAGCGTGATTTCAACAGTAGTTGCAAATTCCACCATTCATGCATCTTTCTAGCAAAGGCAATGAACGCTCCTTGCCACATCCCTCCGTTTGTTTCAACATCCAATTTATCCTGCAGGGTTCCATTTTCAGGGGTTTTGGTTGCTTCGACGAAACAGGCTCAGTCCCTGCGCTTCCTCCATTTGCTTTTTCGTCCCCTGGAAACAAATATCTATATTATATATATATATATAGCCAGTAGTGATAGACTTCCCCCCCGAGAAAACACAAACAAACAAACAAACAAACAAACAACAGGGGGACATAGCGACAATTCAGCAAGTGGAAGGTTCAAGTGTGAGGCGCTCTTGGGCTTGGCCATGACCAGCCACTTCTCCTTGAAGTCTGTGAGCCAATTGATGCCTCGGGAAAGACCCGCTGAGAAATGGCGGACCACTTGGCTGCTGCAACGACTCTGCAAAAAGTGAATAACGTGTGGGTCCAATGGAAAATCCCACCAGTTTCCCAAAAGCTAAAGTCCAAAGATCCGCTACCAAATAGGCCTAAGCGAACCAGAGCCGGTTGCGCGACACCACGTTTTGCCCGAAGGCCGGCCTCGGTGCTCCTGCTGCTGCCACTCCCCTCTAAAGCCGTAGAAACCGCCCTTCTCCACCGGGCCATCCGAGAGAACCTGCTTGGCCCCGATGTTCTTCCCGATCTTGACCTCAGGATGCCGAAATGCCCGTATGGCAGGTTTTTTTTCATGTGTTTGGACTTTTGTTGAGCAACAATAAAAGAACAAATGGCCCTAATTCAAAATCCAATAGATGTACAAGGTAGAGATGCCTGTGTCCACTTCCACATTGCTTCCAAAGAGGTGAACCAAAGGCGGTCCCTTGCAACACTCCTGGGGCTTGAGTCCTTAATTCCAAGACACCTTCAGAAACATATTTTTTACACAGCCATGCACAGCCCGCTTTAATGATCTGAGAATGTAAGCCCTTGTGGCGAGCTGGCTCTCTCCCTCAATTGCATTCCATAAGGAAAGACTCGAAGATTTGTGCCACCTAGGTCTGCGCATATGAACCGGGAGAAGACAGGCATTTGGCAGGGAAGCAATAAAGAAAAAGTCTTTGTATCTGGTATGATGGTATGATCCACACTTGATGTAGTGTCAAACGAAAGAGAACACCGTTTGGCGGGCCTATGTCATGAGGAATGTGATGGAGGCCCAAGCTAGGATGCAAGTAGCCGAAGATGGCATGCAAGTGGGAAACGAAGGATCTCCTTGCAAAAATAATGTTGGTTTACTCGGCCGTATTCGCTCCTGGACCCCCCCAATGTTGATCGCGGTGAAAGACATGCTCCTGGAGCCCTCGCTCTTCAACCGGCGATCGGCCGGTGCCGGTTGGGGGGTTGTTGCCAACAGTACTGCCTCTAACAATCTCTGGGCAAACGAGGGCAGCAACAAAGCTGGAGAATATAGATAAAGCGGCACCTTCTCATGGAGGCCCCGTAGCTGCTTTCCTGCGACTCCATCTTGGTGAACAAACATAGCCAGAGACGGAAATAACGAGTGGCGAAAGTCTGCGCATCCGGTGGCAAACTGGCGTGCCCACGCGTGGCCCAATGCAGCTGTCTTTGTGTGGTTCGGCTGCCAAGAGATGTAGACAAACGTGTTTCAAAACAACAACGGCCAGGCTAACCCTCATCTTGGTTGGCACTGGCATCCCCATACATGTTCTCGGCCAAGGTTCTAACAATGAATGGCAAGCAGTCAAGACTCTTTGTGCGGGAGTCCAAGACACCAAACTGCCAGTGGAATTTGGGGCGCTGCATTGTGCTGCATTCATCATTGTCAGCGATTAGTCAATCGGTGGTAATGTCAACAGTTTCCCACCACAGTATTGTCCTTTTCTGAGAACAAGAACGGGTAAGGAGCACAGGAAAAAAAAAGAAAAAACAGCCCTGGCGATACTAGAACAATACTACCAAACAATAACTTCGTGTGAACCAATACAACACCAATTCAAACTACAACCAAACCAACACTAGACTGTAGACTAATAGCAAATCAATACTAAGCCGATCCTAAAGCAGCAAAACCAACGGCCGCAAAGAGTCAACCTTTTCGTGATATCCTCTGAGCAAACCAGCTTAGACGAATCCAACAGGTGGCACGAGCCACAGGAAGGGAACATGATGTTCAAGGGCAGAAAAAAGAAAAAGCAAATCTCTGCCGAGGTACACAGGAAAACTCAACCAATATCACCGATTCTAAACAATCCCGGTCCAACACTACTCCAACCAACCACTAAGCAGAGAGGACCGACTGAAAAGGACCGACTCTCACCCTCAGTGTGCTTTTAGGGTGTTTTCCTATTGACACCACCCGCAATTCATCTGAGGGGGGCGGGGGGGCTTTACAAACACCGGACTTTGCCCTCACTCGGCCCCGGGCCCATCCCATGTTCCGAGGAGACTGCACCGACTCCTCTGATGGCACCATCCTCAGTCTCCCCCTCGAAGGATTCCGAGCGAACCCCGATTCGCGAACGCCCGCGGCTTTTCTTGTGCAAATCAAACATTCAAAGGAGAGACGTGACGGAAGCCCATGGCAGCCTTTGAGTATGGGTGATGTGGTATGTGTCAAATTAGGGTGCGTCCTATGGATGATGCGGTATGTGTCAAAGGGAACGTTTTACGATTCGAAAGGGAACAGTGATGTAAATCACTTTGGTCATTGATCAGCCGCTCATATTTTGATTGGAGCCTGCCCAACAAGCAACACCACCTGAGGGCTGCACTTGCTGCTGTCCAGCGCTGGAGCCTCCCCGGCAAAGAAAACCAGAAAGCCGTCCTGCGGGTGGGTGCGCTATACATATATATATATATATTATATACATATAATACATTCATATCTATAATATATATATATATATAAGTTGATCCTAATTTGAGTCATGCTATGCAAGGCGTGATCTAAGCTTTAATTACTCCAAGCATCCTCAAACCAGAAACTGCCATACACATGCGGATGCCTACTTACAACATGCGGGCAGAACATCTGAAAACACAATGCCTTCCACACTTTGGGACTCTTCGAGCCGTACACTGCGCAATGGTTTGGGATCCCGATACTTCTTAGCCATGGGTATGTCTCAATGCCCAAGACTTGGTTGATGCCCCAGAGTCTCCGGGCTACACACCAACGCCCGCTTTCGCGGTTTGACCACTCACTTGGGATGCTGCCCCTTCGTTGATGTCTGAAGCCTTGAGCAGGCGACAGGCCGCCTGTCGCACGTTGGAAGGGCGGCCAACAGCCACCCTCTCCAACTGGCTTTCCTCTGGCCATGCTCTGGCTGTGAAATTGGCGAGTCTTGCACCACCGAACTCAGACACCCAACGGTTTCTGATTCGATTCCCCAACGTAAATACCACCAAACATTGTGGCTTCAACCATGGTTTCACATGGATTCTTCCACAGTTGGCCTTATGGGGACGCCGCCGGCCTGTGTCCTGAAGTCGATCCATTCAGAATATGTTCCAGAGCTCATTGCAGCTTGGTTGACGTTGGAAGGGGAGCAGACATCAAAATTTCAACAGTTCTGTGGATTTGGACTTCAACCACTAAACCACAATAAGCAAAATAAGCAAAATGTGCAAAAATAAGCAACATGTTTCCCGACAACCACTAAACCGCAGAGCCCAGGTATCGCTAAGCACCAAAGGCCATGTGGGTCAAATCGCTAAGCCGACCTCCACTTCCACGAGGCCCGGCTGCGCCATCTCGGTGTACACCTAGCAGAAGGCACGGTGGCTTTCCTGCGGTATGCTAGCCACGAATGCAGCAAGCGGAATGAGCCAACGAAGCTTACAAGAAAACACCAAAATGGTGCAGATGGTCCAAGGAAACCACTGTGCAGCCTTGGTGTTCCAATCTCAAACATGTCACATTGGGATTTCTTTCTATCTCTCAAACATTAGACAAAACCCTCGAAGCGAGCGGAACTACATCTCTTGTGTACTGATACTGTGAATTTTAGAACAGTGCTACCAAACAACCCAGTCCAAACTGCCGAGTGATGGGGCCAATTCCTTCTCCACCCACGGCTCGCTTGGACCAAGCCAGTAGTTTGCAGCTATCCCAAACAGGGTTAGTGCATATTCAAAAATCACATCACCACCGACAACTTGAGATCCCACAGCTGTGTAATGATGGCCATCTTGCATTTACAGTCACACCAGGGAGCCTGGGAGGTAGCCAAACTCAAACAGCTGCATATACCTGGAGTCCTTCTACTTGTTTCAACGCAAGGCACACAAATCCAGCCGTGTTTAGGCGGGAGGCCAGGTACAGGCATCCTGCCCAAACTGGAAATGCGCCTAGTGGTTGCAGAGACGGTTCCCACACAAACTCTTTGTTCAAGCTATGGGGCAATGCGCCAACCTGCCATCCGTGGACTTGTGATAATGCCGCACATTCTTGCTGCGTAAAGAGCACTCCAATGCCCTTTGGTGTCAATGGCCCACCTGATTGTCGTTGCTCCACTTGTAGAATGTCTTACCCGGCGAGGAGATCTCTTCGAATACAGGGAAGCTCCTAGCGGCGAAAAAGTCAATAGCCTAGCCAGGGTTGGGATGACACACTCAAAAGAGAGCAAGAAAGCCGTAGGGTTGCCATTTAAAGGGGGCACTTTGTCTAGACTTTGTTCAAGCTTGTCATTTATCTAAAGGGCATGATCAACATACATACACTACAACACACGCATCAGCACGCAAGTTGCTGGGTCGAACCAAACTTGTTGACGTGTGTCCAGTTGTCGTTTTTTGGGCATACTGAATGGATTGAAATTAGTCACTAATGCACCGTACGACATTCTGAAACATGAACCTGTGTCATGGGTGAGGTGGGTCTACAACGGAGCTGTGAATCAGTGAGGCCGTTGCAATGCGCATATCATGAAAACCATGATCCTTCGCCCTGGCCGAGCAAAATCCGATCTGACACCCAGTCAGCAAGTGGCGAAGAAGCAACAGCAGGATCTTCTCTCATGACTTGATGTTGACTTTCTTCTGAACACAATAGACATGGAACATCATGAACAATAGAATCCATGTGCCACCCCTCGGCTTATAAAGTGGTTAGGACGATCTCACGTGCCAAGGGTAAACCAACAGAAGTCGTCCTGAACCCGTGAGTTCTGCGTTGGTGCTGAGCAACTTGATAACGCAACAAAGTTCATGGCCCCAAAGTTGCACAAATGAGGCAGTCATTCCCGGCGCTTGCGCTCAAACTGAACGGCACCCTTTCAGTGAGGATCCCAATCCGCAAATAGGTCCTCATAAGCTAGGTCTGGCTTGGTGCTGATTGCATGGTGTCAGACATACCAAGTTCGAATCTCATGATTTCCCTAATCTCCAATCACAGTATTTGAGAGCCACTTTACGAGCACTTTGTTGCCACGTCTCCAATCAACTGCGCTCCAGTTTCCCAAACTCAATCAGACCAGCCACATGGAGCCCATTCCACAAAGGGAAGCCAGCCTTTCAAACTGGAGCCAGGTTCCGCACAATGCAAAATATACAAATTTGAGCCTTGCAACTCCCGCTTGATTGGCCAAAAGTGAATCCATCCCAACAACACATATGAGATTTGCTTCCTGTTGCGCTCGCTGCTGTTGATCACTGTGTCAACTGGCAAGCAGACTGAGAAGTACTTGGCATGTAATTGGCGGGACGTTTGATAAACGCGGTCTCTGACATCGTTACCTACCGTGGATGGACGAACTTCATTTCGCACCACCTAAGAAACTTTCTGATAATTCCCGTGTAAATGCCAACAAACCTTATCCAGAAGCTTGAGAAGTAATTGGCGGGGCGTTTGACAAACGGGGTCCTTGACTCGTTACCTACTGTGAATGGACGAAATCCTGCACCACCTAAGAAACCCATACCAACAAACAATGGTTTCAACCATGGTTTCTTAGGTGGTGCACAATTTCATCCATCCACAGTATGGGTTCCAAAGGGCTCCAGAGTGGATCTCCTTTCTGCCGAGCCACGTGCCCGCCGGGTTTGTGGGTCCGGCGCCGTGCCGGGTCTTCACTGCATAGACCTGCACGGCTCAAGCCGTCTACTGCAGTTCGGCTCACGAACAAGTTAAAACAACACACGTCGGTGGGTCAAAATCGGGCAACCCCAAAACGGAACCCTGGCAAATGGACACATGCACTGAAATTCTGCGGTCCATATCTTGGCGGCTTATGATTGACCCCAACCCACAGAGTAAATCCCCGCAATCCGCCACAAGTTCTGTGCCTGAAGGGAACGAAGCGTATTTGTGGGCAGCCAGTAGCCCCAGAGTGGCTCTGCATGTACCGGTTTTGCACGAGTTGCGACACTTCGAGCGGGTTATAAAACTTGTAGGTATTAAACTTCAACAAAACCCACGGAAATAGACTAAAACGCGGGTTGACTACTTTTCGCACTATCCCCCCCCTCTCTCTCTCTCACTCTCTGTTGCTGGGAAAGCTGCGACGAAACAGCCGAAACTCCAACAATTTCCCGAAGTAGCCCGGTGAAGCACACCGAATGACCAGATTTCTGACCGGCTTTGACTGGTGAATTGGGAATTGCCATTTGCATTCAAGACTTTGAATGCTTCGTGTGCTGACTCTCTCTCCACTCGCAAATCTTAGTTGCACGCCCAGAAATAGCCTCATGCTCCCCTCGCCCCCAACTTGCTTCGGCATCCTGCCTGAAACGTGTCCATAGAATTGTACTGCAGCCGCATCACCTTCAGGGAGAAACGCAACCAATCAAAACATATGCATGAACAACCAGGTGCCTTTGTTGTAATGCGTGTATGAGTCCAGTGCATGAGCTGTCTGGGCTTGTGCGAGCGTGTATGGGGTATGTCTGTCGCGTTGCCTGCCCGGCGATATGTGCAGAAAACCGAATCTAATGCATCAATGTAATTCATAGTAATACAATGTGTCGTACTAAGGCGACATGTGCTGCAAATTAAGTATCTATATGTAGGCATGTACGCTACAGTCTGCTGCATGTAGGTATGCATGTCTACATGTCTGCATGTCATTTATGTCACTGCATGTCACTGTATGTCTCTGCATGGGAGTGTATGGAGCGACAAGGTGATGTGGCGCAATTCATGTTGATGTTGACTGTGTAAGCGCAATGGAATATGTAAGTGGGACAGCGTCTCATCCAATGTCAGAGCATGCATTTCATTTAGGCTGTCTTCCTTCCTGCCATCAACGCAGGAAAAATGCGGGAAAAGCCTGGTTCAGCAAGCCGATCCAGTCTGAGACAGACTCAACATCGACGCCTGTATTTCTCCTTAGAACATCACCCTCACCAAGGGACACTCACTTTTCACGGGCCGGAAAGGCGATGTTTAAAACCAAAAAGGGAAATATAGGGACCCCTGAAATTGGAAGACTGTTTGATGGCTGTGCAAGAAAGGGCGCCGACGTGAAACCACCAAGGCCAGCAAAATCCCGGCCAGCTTCAGAGCAAATGGGGCGTTAAGCAATGGCCGCAGGATGAATGGGCTGACTTGCCCATCTTTGTCCAAGCCAGCTGGTAGACTTTTGGCAGACCGAACACACTCGTCTCAGCGATAGCGCACCATAGGTAAATCGAAATCCAGTCCATAATAAAACCAAACAATCAAGGACCTACGAACCAGACGGACCAAATAGGTAAAAGAGTTGCAAGCCACACGCGCATCCGGAAAGTGTACATGCCCCCGCCCTGGTCTAAAACAAAACCTAAGTCATAGAGGCAGCATGTACCATTTTTTGACTCAACCGGAATGCGTTTGGGAACGAAACTTGCCGGCAGCAATACCCGAGCCCAAGAGAATCACCCCACAGGCGAAGAACCGTTCCACTCTCGCCTGGATGCCACGCGGCGAGGCATCGAAGGTGCCCACACCCAGGAAGCCCCCGCGAACGTCCGCCACCATGCCCTGCCTCGTGGTCGTCGTGTCACAATTTGCAGACCCATCGTGTGACTTGCCCATGGATTTAAGCACAGTCAGTCACTGAAGTGTGAGTGCTGCTGTCCATTGACGTGAAGCTCACTAGGAAGTCCTGTCAAACCTGTGTAAGGAACATGGCTACACTCAGGTTCCAGGGTAAAGCATAGGGTGGGTCCATCCTCCTGCGCAACATGGAAGCTCCATTGTGGCCCAAGAGGCTGAAAGGAGTGACTGCCCACCCACTTGCTGCCCATGCCGTTGATTTCGAACTTGTCGAGGTCGAAGACGAAGGCAGTGCCAACCTGGCCATGAACCAAATACGAGATACGGGCTATGGCCAATCACATTGGCCATCTTGTCGACCCAATGAGACCTGATATGGACGTTACCCACATGGTCCTCCTAAACCGTAAGCCGCAGAAGCCGGAAACAATCTCACTATCCGAACGGAGGAGTGCTAAAGGCAGCCAGGGTGATTTGACCCTGGTCTAATTTATTCGCCGATCCCTGCTCCAAAAGGGGAGGCGCAGGGGAAGGGTAGGCGGGTCATCATCATTATCACTATCGTCATCTTCATCATCACCATCGTCCTCATTCTCTTATGTAGCCTCCCTGGTGAGGCTGGGGATGTAACATGCGCATCATCATCGTCACCATCGTCAGCAGATCATCATCATGATCATCATCACCACGCTAGGCACCGCTTGCAATGCTGGGGACGTTGAGAGGCAAATGCTGACGGTGTTCGGCTGTACAGAGACCACCCTTGAGAGGTACTTGAGCACATCAAAAGCCCGACCAACACTGATAGCCGCACCTTGACCAGCACCCACAACTTTGTCCAAGCTGAGTCGCAAAACAAGCACCGTCAGCCACCACCGCAGCACCTTAAGCACCCGTGGAGTTTGAATGTCCCGCCAGTCACAACTTGTGATGCTAGGGATGCAAAAAGTTTCGCCGTTCTTGTCATCATCATCGCCATCATTTTCTAAGCATCATGTTCTTGCAGGTGGCACCTTCAGCATCACGAGTGCTTTAACAAAGGAAGTGTGCACTTACAGTCATGGTGGTGATGCTGGGGATGCAAAAGGACAACAGACCTGGGAAAGGACAACAATTTCCTTTTGTTTCCAAGGGTCTGTCCAAAACCCATGGTGCAAGGAATGGATTGGGGGTCCGCTGTGTCAAGGAGCAGGGCTCCAAAGCGGGATGTTTCATATTGCCGCCGACCCGTGTTTGGAGGGGATGCGGCTGGAGCCCCCAGAAGCCTCAAATGATGAGCGTCACCTGCATCATCTGATCTGGCGGGCCTATTTTTGGGTCTAGTTCTGGGTCTGCAGCCTTGGGCTTGTGAGTCTGCGGGCTTGCCCCGGTGATGCGGGTGATGCAGGCGATGTTATTCGTCACAAAGCATCCTGTAGTTGGGGCATTGCGCGTGAAACACCGAAAAAACCGCAGTTTTCCGCGCTGAAAACTGGAGTGGCACATGTTTTGATGAGGCCGATCCAAGCTGCTAATCTCTTCCCCCTATTAATAAATACGCCCCCCCCCCCCTATTATAAATAAATCCTCCCAAAAATGGATTTTTTTTTAATTGGGGTTTTCGGGGTTGGTTTTTTTTGCTTTTCCAAAAATGTGAGGGTTCGCGTAGGGAAATGGATTGAATTGTAAGGTCCGCGAGTAAGCGGTTTAATAAGGAAATTTCATGTGTCATTCTATTTGTTTTTCAGTTTACTGGTTGTTTGTTGGCAGCCAGGCAGGTTAGCCAGCATGTATGGGGGAGAGACAGTTGCAGCTTAAAAGTGGGGCTGGAAGCTTGTTAAAAGTGCCCCCTAATAAGGATTCCAAGACTTTAGTATTGGTTTAGTATTGGCGCAATTAAAAATCAATTGTGCGGAGTGGAAATCTGGTCTCGGGCCCCGGATTTGCATTTATTATTAATGGGGGTCATTCATTAATTGGGGGAGGAGATTAAAGATCGCTGGCAGACCCGCACTGAAGCCTGCGTGGCCCAGGGCTTCGGACGCGCTGCAGACAGACTCTATCCTTGCGCAAAAGCGTGTTGCGCAGCGCTGCCCGCGCAAGCGTTCTCTGCGCGCGCGCAGAGCTGCTTCGCTTGTCGCGAGTCGCGGATGATTTTCTCGCCACGGGTTTGCTTGCAAAGGCGCTGCTTGCTTGCCTTCAAACATCTTAAGGAGCAAGAGCGAGCGGATGTAAAGCTCAGCGTCACAGCGCTGCCGCGG